AACAAGAATCGTCAAGAATGAATGAGGGTTGATACCAAGCAAAGATCTCTACTGTGCATGAATCGGTACATCCGGTGTGCCCGATAGATCGTTTCGCGGCTAAACAAATCACTCGGTTGAGAACGAACGATCGATACCATCTACGTGCGTCGATCGAGCACAACGGCGACATAATTCTTACAATGGCGGCCCGACGCATCGCCGCAAATTGCGCGCTTGCATGATTCGACCGATCGATTAATCACCGCGAGATTTACGAGGGATTTGTTAAACTCCTACAAGACTCGCACAGCTGCAATGTAACGCAATTGCATATTTGCATGCTCTTGCATATTCCCACAAATGTATATCAGATATTGGTAGCGGTAATCTAGCATTATGTCGAGGATGTCAATGACTTGCGAAAGCTATATACTTGTATTTTTTTTATAAATAAAATTTTATATTATTCATTTATTTTTCTTTTTAAAAATAAAATTTTATATTATTTATTTATTTTTCTTTTTTATAAATAAAATTTTATATTATTCATTTATTCTTCTACTGAAAATTCTTTTAAAGTTGATGATGTGTAATGTAAACGATTGGCTTTTTCGGATCTCTCTTTACAAAAGATTGCAACGTACAATTAGAGAAGATTATCGAAGGAAATTATATACGTGGGGGGAAATAAAAAACTTGATCATTTGAATTACGTGTTATATGATTCATATCGTAACATATAGGTTTAACATAATTAGTTTAAGGTTTGTCATTATTAGGATTGCGTACACTTATACAACACAAGGACTCTATACTCCGCGTAATCCAGGTTACATAATTGACAGCAAATGGATCACGATCATCTCGACGTATATATGTCGGCGGCAAGTGAAACGTCATTCGCGATATTTCTCTTTTACAATATATAGTAATACTGAAAGAATGCCACCGATGCACCAAGTATATTTATGCATACATCAGTCGATGAGGCTGATGCAATGCGAGTAATCTATATGAGACGATACAATCTCTTTCTACCCATAAATAAATCCTGGAAGAGTCAATCCTCTGTTAAAGGATTCAGAGATATTAGCGATATAAACAATTCAAAATTGACATTAGCGATATAAACAATTCAAAACTGAATGAAAAGTGCATATTGGTCATCGTGAGTGTTCTTTTATGATATTTTGAAGGCAAGATTCGAGAGACAATATTTACATATCACTATCTCAAATACGTATAAGTCGAGAGTGAAACTTTTGTATATTTCGAATTATTATTTGTTTATATTGGCATCTAATTTATTCTGATGTTACATAATACAGAAAAGTATCTGTGATATAATTACCTATCGATATCTTTTTCCCAAGTCATTCCAAGTCGTACATCTCAGTTACATGTTATATTATTTATACTTTATTACCCTCATGTATTCGGAAACAGCGTAACACGAACGAATTGAGAAGATTATATATTTTATAAAAGCGAAAAAATATTTTCCGATTTTCGGAAGTGAAATTACTCGTTATGAACGTGTTTTATTGCCATCCAAGTTATTCCCCCGCTTACAATAATGAAGAGAACGGGAGAAGAGGAGAACATTGCGAAAAAGAGAGTCGAAGAAGGCCACGAGAGAGGTGGAGAAAGAAGGGGAGAAGACTACTCGCGCAATTAAATTACGGCGTAAGTCCCGCTCTGAGGATAATGCCCCGGAATGCTGATAATTGGCCGAACCGTCCGGGCGACCCGAGACGAAGGGCTCACAGGTGCAGCTGGCGGCGCGGCACCGCGAAGAGATCATCGGCCCGCGATCCCTCGTGTCTAATTGATTCGAAGTGATTTATATTATCTGCCGTTCCTCTGCACCTTCGGCATTCCTCGCGCATCGTGGCGATCATCAAAATGCTCAGATGAATTGTCGTTCAGAGAAATATTTCGAGACACAGATCGAACAGCTCTCCTTGATCAATTTACTCCATTTAATTCACCCGCTTTCCGTTAGAATCTATTTTGATAGAAATTTCATTAACACGAAATTCATCAATTTAGATGATGAATATATTATATAAAAAAATTATATATATTATATTTTAAATATATTATATATAAATATTTTAATATAATAATAATAAGTTATTATTATCCAGATGAAGAAAGAAAAATCTTGACTATGTGTCTGTCATATTTCGAAAAATATCCTCGACTACTTTTTTCTCAAGTTTTTTGAGATTCCTTCAGATTTCGGAGCAATCTCAATGGCGCCTGGCGATCCGAGTGAAGAAGAAGGCTGTGAAAAAAGAGCAGCGAGGATGCGGACTCTTTCGTAAACGATCCGGCAGCGTGAGCTCGAAAGAGCTCGATGCTTCCGTCATGTTAAAGGGCCCGATGTGCTGTTTCGAACGGAGCCGGAACGAGATGGAACGAGCGATCGATCGGCCATGAAGAAAGAAGAAGAAGAATAATAAGAGACGAGAAGAGAGGCAGGCCTCTCTCGCTCTCGAGGCACCGATATCAGATCGCTCGTGTAAAACTATCGTATCGTTTAAATACGCACTGAAAGGTGAGGCGATGCATCAGAAGATACGCGGGCGGTGGCAGGCAGCCTTCTTCTCTCTCCCCAGGCCTGCGTCCTCCCGTTCCGTCCGCGCTGTCGATCCGCGCTGAAGATACCCGCCTGGAATCCATGGGAACCACGGAGAACCAGGTTTAACGCGTATAACTCCTCCCTAGCGTCGCAGTGGAGTCCACCATCCGGACCTCGTACGTCTCATCTCCACGTTTGCCTCCGGTTTTCTACTTTGATACACATATGTGCTTTCTTTTTTCTTCCACTCGATTTGTTTTTTTTTTAATTTTTTTTTATATATTTATAATATCGATATTATATAAATAGTGCGACGATATCGTTTAAAAAATTAGGAAATTTTAAAAGAGTTATATGTAATATTATAAGATACGATAGACATGCATAAGTAAACAAAAATAGGAGATGATAAATGCAAAGAGAAGACTCGACAATAAGTGTTGTTCTTCTCGTCGGCGGCACAAGGATCGATATTATCACAACATCACCGTCTATATCGAGATAATTGACAGCGAATCGCATAACAAGTTTCTGAAAAGGACCGAGATGCGATCGCGGTGCAATTTTGCATCGTCGATGCATCGCTACTCGATATTCACGATGGCTACCGATTTTGCTCTTCTCTCCCTTCGCTGGAATCCGTAATTGGGTGGGCATTCCACGTTATGAGTTAATTCCGATGTATCGGCGTCGGAGCAGAGATCATATCGATGCGATTCAAGATCCGCGAGACGATCGCGGTTCTCGATATTTCGCAAGAAGGACGATGTCAATTTAACAAGATGCATCGTATATTTAAATTCTGCATTATATATCAGTAACATTCACTATTAAATTTTGATTTGATTTACTAAACAAGTAAAACTGCTAAATAAATCATCAAGAAAGAAATATTAACAAGAATGATTTAGAATGATTTATAAGAGTTAAAGAAACGTGTGAAATGCACACGTAGAATGCGAAAATAAAAACACAATCCGACGTGCACTCTGCGAAAACCGGATGCTCGCTAGAAGCTAGAGACAATGGTCGACCGAGCGATATTCCGTTTTGAAAAAGGGTGAAATTCCGCGTCGTGTGCATTGTCCGCTTAATGATGGAGTGGAGACGTGACAGGTGAAACCGAATACACGCACACGCTTCACTGGAGGAGTTTGCACCGGGCGCGAGTCTCCCTGGATCCCCATGGGTTCACCTATCGCAGTCAGACAAGCGTGGGCTGGAATTGTGGGACCCACTAATGGGTCCCTGCTCCCAAGCCCTTCGACATTGACGATATCCCCCTTTCATGCTGATCTTTTCGTGAGGCCTATTCGCGATCGGCGCCACCCACAACTCACCAAACTACCGGATAGAATAATGCAATTTGATATCTCGTGGGGATTTAAAATCAAGTGATTGAAAGAAACGTAGTATTAAAGAAAATGCTTGTTGTATACGTAATCCAATGAGAAATTACGACATTGTTGAAATAATTTCGCTATTTCCTGTCTCGAGCAAACATTAATCATGCGATATTATTATATCGACTAATTGCCATATATGACTTCTATCTTGTCATATAAACTATTACGTGTGCAGCATGTCTAATATTAAATTATACCTTGCATCTCATGTCTATTTTACATTTGACATATGAATAACGATGTACGGAGATCTTGCAATGTCATAGGAATAGATGTTCCGATCTATATAACTTGTTCATGATTAAACGCTGTCGTAATCTATACCTGTACAGATCAACTGACCTAAATCATTCAACCAAGCATAATGACGTGTTCGTTGAAAAGTTGTTTCAGTATTTTTACAACTATTGGTTTAACAAGTATTAATGACAAAAAGTATTATTATGAGTATAATATTGTACATTTCTCAATCGTATTACTACGCAGTGTACATGAAAATGTAACTGTCAAAATTTTTTTATTAAACGATCAATATTAACAAATTGACGGAATTTATTAGCGCAAAAGTATTCTTAAATATGAAACTTTCTAGAATTTATTTACATCATTAATTAGTGTACATCACAATTACATTATTAATTAACACAATGTACATTACAAAGATCTTCGATATACATGTATACACACTCATATAACACACGAAGACCTTAAATTGTCTCATTCGCCGATCAACGCGTAATCCGATTTGTTTCTCGAGCGATCTGATTGCGCGACCTTCTTCAACTTTACTCGCCGACATCGCTTCTTATCTGCCAGCATCCTTCTCCGACTTTGTTCGAGACTTTCCATACGCGATCGGGAAAAGAATTTTGCTAATTTTTTTACTTCGACTCGCTTACCATGTGCATAGCACGCTTCTTGTTTCACGATCGGTGATTTATGTCGCGAATCGTTACGTCGTTTCCGTGCTATTACCATGGTAATAGTCCATTAATTGATCTTGGATTCTCCACCATATGTTTCAGATACGCGAGAGACGGGTTTCGTGAATGCCATCACCGCCGCTGGAGTTACTTATGCGATTACGAGAGCCTGTACTATGGGTGACCTTGTGGAATGTTCCTGCGATAAGATGACGTCGAAGGGTAAAGGCTTGCTTCTTTAATCTCTCTTATAATTTAATTCGCGTATCGATTTCTCATTAATTTCACATAAGAGAAAATTCACAATAATCTATAAACTTGTAAAAATTCCCTCAATACAAAAAACTCAATACTAAATTATTATTTTTATTTATTTTTATTTATTATATTCTTTTTCAAGAAATAAAAAAAACATTATATACTTTTATATTTCTACATTTTAATCAAGGAAATTGTGTAGTATAATATCAATAATAAATTTCTCAGAATTGTACATATAAATCATTTTCACACTATACTACATGTGATATCAGCATTTTTGCGATTAAATTTTAAGAGAGGGAAAAAATGTGATTTTTGCGCAGGAGGTAATCGTTTGGCTAAATTTATGCGTGCAGCCAAGAAAAGTTTGCCAACGGAGGGAGAATGGCAATGGGGTGGATGCGGCGATAATGTGAACTTTGGCTTCAGAAAATCCCGAGATTTTATGGATGCGCCTTACCGTAAACGAAGTGACATTAAAACGCTAGTAAAGCTTCATAACAATGATGCTGGACGTCTGGTAAGAGTTATTTTTTATATTTACTTTTCTATGCATTTTTAATCAATATACTGTGTCTTTTTTCTATTGTTTATTATGCTTATTATTATGCTTGACGATATTATTTTTTTTATAATTTTCTATATTATCTATATTATTAATTTTCTATATTTTCATAATTTCGTGAAAATATTATGTATTATTCTCATAATTGCACACAGTTGCGAAATACGATAGGAAATTATATATTTATTCAAAGAAATACATAAAATTTTAGAATTATATAAATCAATGTATATTTTAATTTTATTTTTTTACGATGATGAATTTTAACATTTTTAACACTCTAACAAAATTAGAGGTTGACTTTAGAATCATCACGGCTATAATTAATAGGCGACGTGATTTATATCGATATAAATAAATCGATATAAAATTAACATCTCATTTCACTATTGATACTTTGATGTATTTGAGTTATGATGTTATTGAGATGTTATTGAGTTGCTTTATATCGTTGTTAGAATCTTAAAATCATGTCAGGATAGATTAGAAAGATTAGAAAGATGACATTGAAAGATATATTACGATTCGCCGTGCTGCTTACATTCGCTCCTCAGGCTGTACGCAACTTTATGAAGACCGAGTGTAAGTGTCACGGACTTTCCGGTTCCTGTACGATACGTACTTGTTGGCGCAAAATGCCGTCGTTCCGAGAGGTCGGCAATCGCCTGAAGGAGTCCTTTGACGGCGCGGCCAAGGTCATTCCCAGCAACGACGGTCACAATTTCATCACCGAGGGTCCCACGATCAAGCCGCCCGGTAGATTCGATCTGATCTACAGCGAAGACTCGCCGGACTTTTGCAAACTGAATCGTAAGACCGGCTCGCTAGGGACGACAGATCGTCAGTGCAATGCGACTAGTCCCGGGATCGAGGGCTGTGAGTTGCTCTGCTGCGGCAGAGGTTACGATACGAGAATCATCAAGGAGAAGATCAATTGCCAATGCAGGTTTCGATGGTGTTGCGAGGTCACGTGTAACACATGCCTCGTCAAGAAGACCGTCAACACTTGCCGCTAGAGTGTAAACGATGTAAGTGAAAAACTTTTGATGTAACGATATAGATATATAACAACGTCGAGATTTTGCATCGATTTTGCATGTGTTAGAATAGTTTGAGGAGACACAAATATTTTGTGCGCGAGTTTCGTTATAAATGAAAAATATAACGAGACAACTCCGAATAATTATAATCGAAATTGCAGAATTCCGGAGAGAATCATAGTTAAATGTTAAAAATGTGTGTTTTATTAACAATGGGAAGAAATATTCTATCAAATTTTTCCTCGCTATCAATGTCTATAAGAGGCGTTAATGATGAACTTATGTCAATTATTGCAACATCCAAGCCATCTAATATATTATTGTGTGTGTATCAATTAACTGACATACGAAGTATGTTTTTTCAGATTATTCAATGTTTAATACGTTGCTTAAAATTTTTTGTCTTTTATCAAGACTGTTATAGCGATCAATATAATCTCTCCATTCATGAAAATGCTCTACTACATTGACATTTATTATAATAACGTTTAATAATTATTATAATGTTTTGTAATATACATAAACTTTTAAGATTACGGCTCGATCATGAATGTTCATTGACGAATATTCGGACGACATGTGATTTACGATTTACCGCGGCCGTATTCTCGGTCTTAGATTAAATTTAGGTTACTGGATGTATATGTTTAGGATCTCTAGAAAGATTTATCGTAAGCGCGAACACGAGAAGCGCGATCGCGAACGTCAGTAGTGCATGCGCGTGCTGAGTCAGACGCGAGTCGCGATGCAACTAGACGCGATTCTTCGCGTTTTGCGGGACATTACATATCTTGGATTATGTATCTATGAATTGCCGATAAAACTGGACATTTTTCGATATAGAACTAGACGTATCGATAAAAAATCAATGCTGACAATATAGGTTGCACTCGAAGATTTTTATTGTTATCAGGATCGATTCTATATTCGCCCTTTGGATTTTTATTAGACTTCTTCAAACTTCAACGAGATTATAGAAATAATTGGCAATGTTACTTAAAAATGTTTTTTCTAATCTTAGCGATAATAAAATGTCTAAATATCACCAGGATTTATTAAATCTTATTAATTTATTTTTCGCATTTTTAGTGAAAAAATTTCTATATATTTTAAAGAAAACGAACTGTTTTGACGAGATCTAACAGGTGTCTGTTATGTAGAATCGATCCTACGTATAATAGTTATTATCAGTATCGCCGACGCAAGATGATCGGTTTTTTTACTCGAGCTGAAGCTTTCCACGTATCTCCAGTGCTCGTAATATATTAATACGCACGTATAGTCGTATGATGAATTTATGTAAAGTATATCCGTCGAACCATCATAACGCGCCGGTATTCGCATATTAATGCCCGGTGAATCGCTTTTTTGCTTGAATCGCCGCGAGGTCGAAATCTTCGAGCGAAATCCCGAGTGATCAACTCGACATTAACGACATTAACGACATATCGAAAATATCACGATGTTATGTCGCATCCAGTTTTCATGCAAATTTTCTCTTGTTGATTACGGTCGGAAAACTCGGGACCTCGCTTTCGCTTCACGCATGTGCGTGTGTATCCAGTTATCTTGCTTTTTCTCTCTTGCGTGATATATAAGCTTTGTGCCATACGTCGTGGTTCGATCGATCGATACTTATGTCAAATATGTACCGATCCACGAGTTTTACACGAGCTTCTTCCGTTTCTCGAATAATCATTTTTCTACCGATTAATGAGCCTTATCGCGCTATAGGCTTGCCATTTTGTGTATATAAGACTGAATTTATTAATATTTGCACTCTTGTGCGATATGAATAAAAAAATTGTACTCACGGATGAATCTCGTTTGTTAGTATTAAGATTTACTAGTGGTAACAACTCATTTTAGAATGCGAACATATATAAAAGGAAAAAAAAAATATATGATTAATTGTATTTAAAATTCCAGCATTTAACTTGTATTCAACTCCACTTCGAGCGATCCTTCTACGATTAATCGGTAAATATCTCCGCGCTATTTATAATTGCAGGTAAGTGTAAAATTATCTTATAGTAAAGTTATCTTATATTTTAGTTTTGATCATAAAACGTATCCCGTAATATTTAACGGATTATAATAATATCTGACAATTATGAAGCATATTATTGCACGTTCGAAATTGTTGAAATCTTTTTTTCTCGGTAAATATTTAACTTAGATAGCAGAAATAAATTTAAGTAAGGTGATAAAGAGAAATCGGTGTTATAAAATTTATTTTGTTTGTACGTGTTAGTTTCGTTTTCTCCTTAGAGTTCGAGAATGAACGTGTCAACAATCTTCAGGCCATTGTTAGTGTTAGGTGTTTGCCTAGTTTGTTTTTCTCTCTGATTTTGTTGATAGCTATTATTTGGATAGGACACTTAAAAAAATTTTTTGCCCAACTTTGGAAAAAACGAAGCACTAAAATATTAATCTCGAAAGATGTTTTCGAATGACGAGGAATTTTTTGTATCTTTCTCATCTGAAGACGTGGTAATAAGGATAAATTAAGGAAACACCGAGGTCTCGTATATCAAGGTATCGTGTAAAACACGAACTTTTACCTGTAATTTAGGTTTATACACGACAGTCGACTGTCGGGCAATAAAGGATTACCACCATTTCTTGTAAAATAGTTTTATGGCCATCGTCAAAAGAGAGGAATTTCGCATAACCATAAAGGTTGCTGAAGACTCGCGTCATATCGCGTGCGCTCGACGCATTTTTGGCGATAACGGAAGCCATAAACTGAAAAAAGCAAGCTTTTTCCTGTTTTTTTATGCTTTATTTTTTATTACATTTTTCGCTCTATCAACAGTGTTTTCAAATCCAAATTTCTGAAAATTAGTAGATTTCCTTCTTGATTTATATTGAATACTGAGAGTTTAATTTTGCAGTTATAGTGATGAGATTATTGATTTTAACATACATATTAAAATTTATTTATGAAATTACAAAATATTTATGAAATATTAAGAAATATTATTATGAAATATTATCATTTATACAGAAAACTAATTAAAATTTTAAGTAAATTTTAATAAAATTCTAATTAAAATTATAATTAAATTTAACGATAGAATTTGTAGAATCTCTAGAATTAGATGTATTTTTCAGAAAAAAATTTTTGTTTCCTTCTTGCAATTTTTTAATTAGAGAAAGAAAAGCTTGTATTGTAATTTTTATTAGAACAAAGATTTTATACATTATCCACTTGCAAATATAAATACAAAATAATCGGAGAGAGAAAATGATAATCTAATAACAAATAAATAACGGTTTTTACAACATTGAATCGCAGTGTCTGACTCGTGATATTCAAAGAAAATTTCCCGCATAACATCACGAACATCCGAGATTACTCGGGATTAACTCGGCGATTCACCACCAACGGTTCCACACATTCCCACACAAACCGCTCTAAAAAAAAGAAAAACCCTCTTTAAAGAAAAGACTCTTAGAGAGGCGAGCTTACACCCTCCAATTTAATACGTGACGCGGCACGGCGCGACGTGCGAGCGCGTCCGGGTAAAAGTCTCTTAATAGAGAGGTCGACCTCTCGGAGGTACGAAAGTGGTGAGGCGCAATTAGCCCCACCAAGGGGGACTGTCTGGACTCGATTAGCCCATGGCCAGGAGATTGGTCTGCCGCGGCACGACTGGGTGGTCCGAGCGGGGTAATTTTCGGCTGCCGTCGACGTTCTCCCCTTCGGGGGAAAAATGGCCCCTCGAAATTGGCCCCGAAGTTACCGCGCGCCGTAGGTCCGTCCGCCATTTTTAGAATCTCCAGCCTCTCGTCTCTTTCCTCCCCTTCTCACCCGCATTCCCGATCTTCGTTCCTCTCGAGCTGAGACGGACATTCTTCTGACAAAGATCCCTCCCGTGGAGGTGAAGCGAGACTTGCCGATAATTCAATTTTGGAGGAAAAAACGCGGTACACCGGTTATTACGCGCTGATGAAAACATCGGACCATCAGGAACGGTGTGAGAATGCGGTTTCAATCTTCGTTTCACCGCCGAGCGTCATCGCATGAACAATAAAGTGACATAATTTTGTACTTTCAATTTTTAAATTAATATAAAATTTCTAAACTTTGATTACATCGATAGCACATTTAGATTAAGTTTAATTTAGTGACATTTAATGACATTTGTTGTTCTCTTTTAGATTGTTATTTTATCTGCAATATACAAACGAAAAAATAAATAAATAAATAAATATACATATATATTAATTTTTCAAACGAACGTTGCAGTGTCGATCCTGAGATCGGAGAACAGGCTCTCCGTAAAATGTGCGCGTACGGGAGGATTCGCGCGCGGACTTTACGTACGACGGGAACTCTCCCACGACGTACGACTGTCCTGATTACATCGTTCCCGGAACGATTAGGCGCGGAACAATGGGGTCCGCGGAACGCACGTGGGTCGTGACGCGCGACAAAACCGCAAAATGCGACCGTGATTAATCGACCCTGGCCGCCCTCTCCGGGACCGTGCAAGAACACGTCGGGAACGCGCCGTGACTCCATTTTCTCTCGTGCAACCCTCGCGTTTAATGCGCGAGCACTCGCCCGCTCCACGTTTCTCTCGTCTCGTGGAAGTCGATGATAAATTTCTACGGCAACGAGCGCCCGTTTGTGTACCTTCCTCGCGTGTCTCGACTGACTGCAATTTTTGTGACTTTCGCGAATACAGCTTACAAGAGATGTGACAAGGAATCTATTCAAGATTTGCAAAGTCTGTGTTGGTTACGTTTATGTGAAATATTTGTTTTATATTTTATATTAGTTTTGGTCGTGTGAAAAGTAAACCATATGCAGGAATATCGTGATATTTTTTAATTGATAAAATATTTATATTCTCCGATGATGCATTATGGTGTTGCTTGTACTCCTTTCATTTTAATTAAAGATATAATGATATAATAAAATTTTTAGATATTTCACATACATTTATCATAGTTTATGCACACACGTTTAATGTTGTTATCATGTCGCGATAATCTAAAAATTTTGTATGAATATTTTCATGTTACTTTTGTAAAGAATTTTCTTTTAATATAAAATTTATTTAAGGATAGAGGATATATATAATATGAGCAGTGATATTTTTAGAGTAAAAATAGAATATATTTCAAGAAGTTTAATACAAATTCTCTGCGGGTCTCAAAGTATTAAGAAAATTTCTTCCGGAGAATTTACGGCTTAATATAAACTGAAAAAACATGTACGCGATCAATTAAGTAATGTGATCGCGCGTAGCAAACAGGATTCGATGAAGGATGAAGGTCCGATAAGGATACCATCGAACGTGTATCGTCACGACACAGCAAATGACCACCAGCCTCAGGACTAATATATCCGAGCTCGGGCGCCGGTCGCGGACCGACCTACGCATAATCACGCACACGCGAAGGCGTTTGTCGTGCATGCGAGATTACACACGCAAATCGCGAGTTCTCTCCCTGCAAGTGTAATCTACCAAGACACCGAGGCGCCGGAGGTGGTCGTCGGTAACCGCTTCGAGAGTCCGGACGCGCTGCCCGCGGATGCCAATATTAATTAAACGATCCCATAAGCGCCTAACAAACTGGCCGTACGTTAGGCGGTTTATTGGGGTCCCCGAGCGGGACGTTAAAATGTTCCAATCTTAATTAGGTAGGTGTTTACAGGAGAATAATTCCACGGGTTTTAAGCCGCTGCGCCATTTCTACCGAACGCGGGCCACCGTGTACGTCCCTCGCGAGGAAGAGAAATCCTCGCAGGATTCTATCTCTTTCTTTCTCTTTTTTTCCTCCCCCCCCCTCTTCCTTCTTTACGTCCTCCTCGCGTCGTCGGTTCCATCATGGAACGGTGTCCTTTACCGTTGCACCTTTTCGTTTTCCTTTGCTCCGAGGATGATCATCTAATATCCTCGTTGCATCTTTTCTCTCTTTCGCGCTTCTCTTTCGTCTCTTTCTTGCTCCTTTTCCGCGAGCAGTGCCAGAAGCACACCTCGAAGCAGGTCTACTACGGCGGTAGGTAGAGAGGGTCATTGAAATCTTTACGGTTTCTCCAGCTTCTCGGAATTTCGACCCTACCGATATACGCTGGTCTTGCATAATTATCTGTATACAGATTTCTTTCTTGCTTTTCTGGTCATTTTTTTTTATCTCGGGTCAATCATTGAAAAAGACGAGCGATAAAGGAAAAGAAAAGGACGGAAGTAATAATTTTAGTTTATGGGGGAATATAAATTTTCTTATTTGTTATAAAAATATAAATTATAAAAATATAAACAAAAAATATAATAATTTTATAATAATTTTTGATAAAGAAAAAAGATTGATTACGATATATTATAACTATATTTGTCTCATTTTTAAATATTCTTTTTTTAGATGCAAAAAAGAGATTAATTGTTTCTTTCAACATGAATAATTTAATATAAATTTTGATTATGTTACATGTTCGATTTGTGATGACTTACTCGCAGGGTCGGATTTAGGGGGAAGGCAACAGGGGCTGAAGCCTAGGGGCCTCCACAACACAAATTTTTGGGTAAAATTTCCTAATTGGGTAAAATTTTCGAATGGTATACAACACTTACAAGGTGTATTGCTTGACCTTGTTATTTCGCAATAAATTATTTAAACAACGTAAAAATTTCTATTTGATTTTGGTTTAAAAATTAGAGGTCTCCACCTCTTCGTTGCCCCAGGGCCTCCACACCTTTAAATCCGACTCTGCTTACTCGATACAAGAGCGGAAAGGGTTTTCCTCTTTCCTCGTACCTCTGAATATAAGAGCCTTGTATTCTGTATGCAGTTATGCCACGCTGCGTAAACAGCAATTTGCGCTCATTAGAGTAACGTTTAGTAGTGCTTAGCGCTTTCTCGGAGA